AGGAAAGCTTTGTGACAGGACTACTGACAGTGTGGAAGAGTTACAGAAACTGGCAATGGATGGCAAAAGTTGACAAAAGTTGGCAAAAGTTGACAAAAGTTAGCAAAAGCCTGAAGGAGCAAGGGAGTCGGGGTCAAAGGTGTTATGGATCCTGGAGAGCTGGATTCTTGGTGGGGGCCCCCTCTGGGAGCCATGCAGCTTAGCCAAGAGCAGGTAGAGATCCCAGCCAGTGCCAGAGCCACACACAGCTGGGGACCAGGGCAGTAAATGCTCCCACACCTCCCCCCACCCACTGTCTGATCTCCTGCTGATGCCTCCCAAGGCCAGACCTGCCCATGAGCCAGAGGACAGGGCAGCAGATGGAAGACTCACCAGGTGATAAAGGCCAGCCCCCTGAGCACAGAGGCAACGAAGGGTGGAAAATAGCTTTGAAAGGGCAAAGAAAACCAGGGAGGGCATCTTCCCAGCCTGTCTTACAGGTAGAACTATGTGGTGTGGTCTTCCCCTCTGGACTGCAGGGAAGGGCTGGCTGGGCCGGGACGCGGTGTGTCTTCTCACAGCAGTGTCCTCATGCCCGGCACAGAGTAGGTGCGTGAGAGTATCCGCTCCCTGAGGATGTTCCTGACTGCAGGCCAGTAGCAGGCCCCCCTTGGTGCTTGCTCCATCCCAGCTCCACCACCTGCCATTGCCCCGCTAGTGTCTGCCCAGCCCTGACCCTGCCGACTCAGGCCCCTTGAAGGCAGGGCTGAGGCTCTTTACTTAGCAGGGGCTGGCACATGGAGATGCTCAATCAGTACCTGACAAAGGAAGAATCCACAACTGAGGTGTCCCCAGTCTCCTGCCCCACATCGACTGAGAGGTGATGGTTGCTGGTTTACTAATTCTCAGCAGCTGATGCCCGAACGCACCTTCCTCCGGCTCCACACACACCTTCCTACACACACCAAGGGTCTGCCTTCTCTACTCTGCTGGCAGACTGTCTCCCTTATCGGGTGTGTCTGTGTGACTGGGACTAGACAATGAAATGTGAGCAGATGTGATGTGTCCCTTTGTGGAAACTTCTATGAGCTTTAGCATGCATGATCTCTTCTCTCTCTGCCACAATTGCTGATATTGTTCTAGACAGAGGCTGTCAGCCTGGGTCCCAGAATGATGTCACATGGAGCAGAAACACATTCAACCCATGACGGGCTTGAAGAAAGAGCAAGAACTATACCATAAGCCATGGGATTTGGGGGCTTTTGTTCCTCAGCACAGCCTGGCCAATCCTGACTATTTCCCTGAGTTCACCTTCTAAACTCTGCCTGTGGATATAGTTATTTAAAGCACAGGACTCACAAAAGGGATCACATCTAATGTCCTGTGTACTGTGCTCAACTTACCTCTTTCAACTGAAATGTGTGCCTCAGTGGCACACACATACTTACCTGAATATTGAGAGGAGCCAGGGATGGAGGGGTCAGGCAACTTCACACCACAAGGGACAAATGACGGCAGAGGCAGACAGGCCAGAGGGAATGGCGTCTGCAGCCCAGCAGCCTTGTGGGGCTGACCAGATGCCCTGTGCTTCCAGGCCGAGGCAGGTTCATTGAAGGCTGGCAGTCCCCAGGGCTAGCCAATACTCTCAAGAGCTTCACATTTACTACATTTACTAATGCCCAATTCAAATTCAACATCAAGGCCAATCCTGTCTCCTTACCCAATAGCTGAACTTAATTCATCTGTAGTTCCCAAAGCTTCAAACACTTGGTTGTCTTTGGGTCTCCTTTCTCCAGTGAAAGTGCTAGAAAACCCTGTGAAAGAACATTTAGCAGCCCAAATTAAGAATTTTTCCTCCAATATACTCTTTTAAAAAAACTTTCCATTTGAAGCATAACATATACACATTAAGGCACTCAAATCATAAGAGTACAAGTTGATGAATTTCTGCCAACTGAATATACCTCAGTGACCAGAGCCCACACCAAGAAACAGAATATGACCAGCACCCATAGGCTCCCATGCACCCCCTTTCCGTCTCTACCCCCTCAAGGGTAACCATTATGCTCACTTGTTTCCTGATATGCTTTCATTTTAAACTTAACAGTCATGTAATAACCATCCTCCTAACGAGATAACAAAAGATATATGTAATATATGTACACATTATGATTATATCTCACATAACATCAAAGTCCTCGATATCTCTCCCTAGCTCACATTTCTCACCTTTCTCTCCCAACCACTGAGAAATAGAAAACCTCCTCCTGACAGCCCAGGAGCTGGCCTAGAACTAGTCAGAAGGCTATGGGGCTGCCAGGTGCTGCTGAACTTGAATGACTTCACAGATCATCACACAAGCGACTCTATCTATGACCATGACGAATCAAGGCCACTCCATAATCATAATCTGAGCCCACAACACTGTCCAAACTATAAAAACGACATAACATCCCCCTTTCCTGGTTAATGTGAGTGGCTGCTGCTGCTTCATCAATCACAGCTTTAGTCTCTCCTTGTCCCGCCCACCTCCTAGATAAAAGTGATTAAGATTCCCAATTACAGAATTAGCCCAGCTTCCTGACAGCATCTAATCCAGAGCAAAGCCCCACTTCCTTGAACTCTCCCCAAATCCCCTAATGCAAGCCCACTCCTGTAAGTCCTTTCCAACACCCTCTGAGCTGCTGCACTGTTCCCATGGTGTGCCATCTCCCTGGCTGTAATGAGCCAACTTTATCTGACCAGATAATCTCTGGAGGTCTTTGGATGGAGGGCATCAACACTACCTTCTGTTTGTCACGCCTATGCATATTTTCTTTTATTTTATTGTGGTAACATATACATAAAATTTACCATTTTAGTTATTTTTAGTATATAGCTCAATGACATTAAATACATCCTATGTGTGTTTTTATACTTTTACCACTTAAGTATATATCCAAGAAACAATATATACTAGTGACCTGCATGGTTTTAAACTTTAGAAAAATACATCTCCTGATATATTCTTCTATATCTTACTTTTTTGGGTACATTATGTACTTGTATTGTTTAAATTGCCAAAGTAATATATGCTCATAATAAAAAGTAACAGAATAGAAAAGCATATACAGGCAACAAAAGCCCTTCTGTTCATTCCCCTGTCCCACAGCTCAACCTCTCTCCCGGGTAATAGTCCAATATAGAACCTTTCAGACTATTCTGTGCACATCTGATCACACACATATATATACACACATACACAATTTTCTCCAAATAGGTTCTGATTATTTGGATTGTTCTACAATTTGCTTTTGTCATCACTTACTATATCTTGGGCATCTTTCATTTCACACCACATTTTGGTGATGTATACTGAGATCTGTCACATACTTTTTAATGGCTGTAAAGAATTTCGAAGAACTTTAAAAGGCAGTCTGCCATGTCTTTCTTTGCTTTTTTCACCTGATCCCACCCTACCTTTGTCTCCGGTTTTGGTATAAATCTTGGGTATCTTGGGTGTCTTCGAGGAAATCTGTGGCCTAATGAGAAATAGACATCAAGAGATGGTGAGTGGGGGTGGCTTGCACAATGAAGCTCCTCCTTCAACAGGTCATAGCCTGCTGTAGTCTGAGGTAGCACTTAGCACCCCTCCTCCGTGCTTGGACCTGACACCTTTCCCATCCATCTCACTTAGTTTTAAGCCCTTTGTGGGCAAGCTCTGTCTCGCCCATATCCACATCTCCACAGCAGCTGATATAGTGCACTGCTCAAGGCAGATGTGCACTAAATATTCAATGAAAGAATTTATCGATCACTTTCCATAGTCCCTGCACTGTACTAACTGGACTACCATCTTTATCTCCTGGAATTATCCCTGGAATCATCTCTCAGCCCCAAAGGTAGGCACACGTATGACCTTCATTTTACTGTTGAGGAAACTGTAGCTAACAGGATGAGACTCAACATTCCTAGGTCACCCAGGCAGGAAGAGGTAGGGCTGGAAGTCATGCCCAGACATCTTACTTCTGATCCCAAACTGTTAACCCGCTACCCTTCAGAAACTCTTACCCTCTCCTCCACCAAGTCAGGGTCTCTCGAACGGAAATGTACTTGGGCTATTTCCATTCTTTGAAGCTTCAAGTATACTCAGAAATGAAGAATTGCCAAAACGGGGATTGAAAACTGGCATTTTCAAATAGTTACATAATACCTTTAATACAGACTTCAACATTAAAATACGACATTACAAAGTTATTCGGAGGTTAAGTTACTGGATCTATGAGATACATTAATCCATTATTCTGGTACTCTACAGGTCTGGGAAGGTGGTGGAAGTGTCAGGGTCTATGATGACAGCCATCTTTAGATCATGCTGGTGCCTCTGTGTCTTAAAGTATAAACTGTTTTGAAGACAGGTCAAAATCTGAACGAGGCCCCTCCTGGCCACATGGGATATGCCCTGCCCTTATGGGTGACAGCTGGGCTTCGTCTGGACTTGTCCAGTGCAAAGATATCTCGGTATCTGGCTTCCACGGCAGCGACGTTGCCATGATGACGACAGGATTGGGCGAGGACGTCACCTGGCCGTTGCTGCAGTGACCTAACGGGTGTGACGTAACCGTGGCGACGATACCACACTTCACGGCAGGTGTCTGAGTTACCCTCCCAACCAGGAACTCACCTGTCCCCGTCTTCCACGCCCTGGGGGCCGCGGCTCTGCAGACGGGGATATAGTAGCCTGCCGGCGCCGAGGCACCCGCGCAGGGAAAGGTGGCCTCCGAGGCCCCTCACAGCCATGCACTGCGTCGCGCGTCAGGGTTGACCCCGCCCGGCTCCCGTCCGGGTCCCGTGGAGACTCCACCTACCGCCGGCCGCACCACCTCTCAACCACCATTTTCCATTGGCCCGTGGCTCTCGCCCGAGGGAGGGACAGTCCCAGAGGCTTATTTTCCATCGGTTCATGGGAGGAGCTGGGCGGGGAAACCAGTGGCGGCTTGGTTGCAATTCCTATTGGCCAATGCTCAAGCCAATTGGTAAAGGGTTTGCGCACTCTGATTGGCTGGATGGAAGGAAGCTGCCACCTGCTCCCGTGGCTCCAGCTCTTGGCTATCAAGTCCTGGAGCTACTCCGGCTGTCGCGTAGAGTTGCTGTGTCAGTAGGAGAGAGACTGTCATCGCGGGGCCGGGTGGTGCGAGGTACGAAGCCGCGACCCAGGGCGACCCCGGGCGACCCCGGGCGGGCTTCCGGCTGCCCTGGCTCAGTTTCTCCAACTCTTGAGACTCCATGTTGAGGGGTCAGCGACCTCGAATTTAACGGCGGTGATTGTGAGTTTCGGACAAGCAATAGGTTCCTCGCTTCGAGCCTCAGTTTCCCAGCCGAAGAGACCGGGATCACGATAGTACTTAGCTCACAGTGCTGTTTAGGTGTTACTGCGTTGAGGAAATGCACGCAAATCCTTAATGGGTGGTAACTGAATTATGTATAAAAACCAGAAGTGCGCACACCCTTAGACCCAGCAGGGGGACTGCTAGGACTGTTTTCTAGGACTCATGTTGCAGAGGTCCTCGCGTAAGTGTGCAAAAAAGGGTGTGGCAGTGGTTTTCTGCAGGCTGTTTCTAATTGTGACACTTTGGAAACAGCCCAACTGTCCGGGAAGGTGTTCTTTCTGGTCCATGATTTCATTTGATTTTTTACCTTTTGTAGTAGTAATAATATAAGCTGGAACCAAGAACAGAGCCAGTAGTAAATAGCTATCAGTAATAGAATGATTATATGTCAGACACTGTTTCTCTTGCATTAATTTGTCTTTCCAAAACCTTCTGAGGTGGGTACAGTTATTGTCGCCTTATAACATATGAGGAAACCGAGGCATAGCCTTTTGAGGGAGAGCCGAGATGGTATCACCAGGGAGTTGCGAGAGCTGCAATTTGAACCCTCGTCTTCCCAATATGTCTAGTTGACAGCTGCATTCACTGCCTTGTGGGCACAGAGCAAGTGCTGAATGGTAGCTGCCTTTTTGGTTGGAATGATGAGTTTGACCTAAGCATTCTCTGAGATCTGGGGACCTTCCACCCTCTCTTTGGCTTCCCTTTCAGGATTCCTGGGAGCCATGTTGTCAGAAGCCCTGCTGGTGTCTGCTCCAGGGAAAGTCATCCTCCATGGAGAGCATGCCGTGGTCCATGGCAAGGTAAAAGGCCCCCAGAGCCTTCCAGGATTGGGCGTCACTTCTCCCTGATGCTAACCTTAAAAGAAGCTAAAATGGAGCCTTGAGGCATAACCTAGGAGTATATCAGAGCAGAGGTCTGTTTCTCCTCTGCAAGGCAAGGAAAGGTCAGGTCTTATGTCCACTAAAGGGCATCTCTGGCCTCGCTCAGTAAGATAGCAAAAAGATGATATGTAAAGTCTTGCAGGTGAAATGGGATCACCTAGGAAGTGATCTTCAGGAGAGAAGAAAAGAGGTTGGAGGGCCCAGCTATGGGGTAGTCCAATGTTTAGAAGCTGGGAAGATGAGTAGGATCCAGCAGAGTCTGAAACATGCATTAGCTCATTTAATGTATCTCAATATCTCTACCTTTTGAGGTTAAACTTTATTATCCTATTTTTATGGACACTGAAGTTGAGGCTTAGGAGAGGATTGGTAACCTCACCAAGGTCCCATACATCTTGGTAGAACTAGGAATAAACCTAAGTCTGTCTGAACCCAAAGCTCATGCTTTTTCTATTCTTCCACTCTGTCACTTTTTATGTTCTTAACATACTTATCTTTGATTGTAACATGGTCATTGTGGGGAAACCATTCCTTGGTGTTGAGAACCTCTGAAGTTTTACACTCAGAGGACAGATATAAATAAATATTGACTTCTGGTTGACTGGTAGTGGCTAGTAGCCAGGCCTAGTGGGAGAGCATGCCAATGTTGCTTAGCAGCGTCTGACAAAGGCATGAGTGGAAGTGGCCTATGCATGCTAGAATTTGCTCTCTGTTCTCCACACACTGACTCTGACCTCTCTTTTTCCTAAGACAGGAGCCATGCTCGTTCCCCCCACCTGCATCCCCGGGAGCTAATTGGTTTTGCCCTTTATCCTACAGGTAGCACTGGCTGTGGCCTTGAACTTGAGAACATTCCTCCGACTTCAGCCCCACAGCAATGGGAAAGTGGGCCTTAACTTACCAAACACTGGCATCAAGCGGGTTTGGGATGTGGCCAGGCTTCAGCTGCTGGGCACAAGCTTTCTGGGTAAGTGCAAGGAGAAGGGACCAGGTGTGGGAAGAGGCTGGGGCCTGAAAGAGGATGGCTGTCCCCAAGGGAGCCAGAGGCCGTCCACTCTAGGGGTGTTTTCTCTCCTGACCCCATAAAATTAGTTGCACTTATAATTTTTAAAAATTTAAAAACATAAAGTGAGGCACTAGGTCTCTGTGGACTGTTGCGGACAGAGCATCAAGGCTTACTGCTGAGTGAAAAAAATGCAAAAGAACACGTATGCTGAGGAATGAAACTAAGTATCAGTATGTTTGTAAGTGCATAAAAAAGGCTGGGATTACATACATTCAACTGACATTGGTGATCAGTTACCCCTGGTCCTTAGGTTCATGCAATGGAGAAAGGGAACCGTCCTTCTATGATGTTTTAATAAGGAGAATGTCTTGACATTTTGTACTAATCAAAAATAAAAGTAGCCTGCTTATTGTTGGAAAATACAGTCAATACTGAAACATTGCTAGTAAAAAAAAATTAATCTGTTATCGCTGCCCACCCGTCTTCCCTAGCCCAGCTCCACCCCCATGGTAACTGTAAGCATTTTGGTGTTAATCCTTCTGGATTATTTTCTGTAGGTGTCTAGATTGATTTGGATATGGAGATAACATTTTTTAACCAAAATCAGATCAGGCCACATAAACTCTTCCAAAATGTGTAGGAGTTTGTTTTCTTCGGTATATCAGGACTCTCTTTCCATGTCAATAAATAAAGACCTCCGTGCTCATTTTTGGTAATATCGGGAATGTTGTGTCCACTCAGAAGCAGGTCATGTTTTTTCATCAGCGGAGTCACCACCTGCCTCGAAGCTGGAGTGTGTTTTCTGTTCTCAGTTTGCTGTCTCCTTGGCTGATGCCTCGTGGTTTGGAAAAGTGTTTCTTAGGTAGTGTAGGCCAGGCCGGTGATAATCCTCTAGGGGTGTTTTCCGAACTGTCCCTTGTCACCCGTGAGAATTAATCCAGAGCAAGCCACTCAGCCACTCCCACTGCCGTAAGGAGATGGAGTCAGTTGAAAACCCCCATTTTTGAGCAATCATTTTCAACCCCGTCCCGCCTTGAGATCCCCTCGAGAGGTTTTTGTTGTTCTTAGCAATACAGATGGATTCCTTGCCCTGCCCCTCTCCTGTTAAGAATCAGGAGTGGTGGTAGGGGTCCAGGTAGGTGTATTTTGAAGTAGGTCCCCTGGGTGATTCCAGGGACACCTTCAATTAAGGGCTACTTCTTTGAAGCATGCCTCAGAAAACAGCCATCCAGAACAACCTGGACTTTGCTTTCCGTGGCGTACAGGGCTGCCCAGCCAGGCTGGAAATGTTCCCCAAGGACTGGCTGCTGCTTTTATGTCTAAGTAGCACAAATGGAAGCAGCCAGGTGTTGTGACACATGTCTCACCACTTCTGACTGCCTGGGTGGGCCCGGGCAGGTCACCTGACCCTCTGAGCTTAGGTGAGCAGAGTTGTGTTGCCTGGGAGGCCTGCTGTGAGGATCCGGCAGGATCAGAGGTGGGTGCAGGCCTGTGCTGCTGGGAGCAGTACCTGTGTGGGGGGGCTTGTTAGTTACCTTTCTAAGGAGGCGACAGAAATCAGAGACTTTTGAAGACATGTTTTCTGCTAGATTGCAAGGATTTGCTATCTTTTTCTTCATTGTTCTTTGGTTGCCTCCTAATAGAAATAAACACAGTATGCATTTATAGGGCATTTTCATGCAATGAAAATGTTACTCACCTAGTGTGTTATGTATGTTAGTACTGTTCTGGCTGTAGGTGGAGGTATTCATCCCCATTTTATGGATGAAAAAACTGAGATTTAGGGGCCAAACCCCTTGAGTCACCCAGCTTGGCAGTGATACGGAGAGGATTCTGACCCAGATCTTAATGAACTCCAAAGCCTAGGCTCTTAACAAACCATTGCATCTCCATCACAGAACCCTAGGAACACTTTTTGGCCTTTAATGTGTCATTAATTCAGTCAAAACACAGTACTTAATAGGTGCCCCACCCCAAAATTTCCTAACACAGGCACACCCAGCTCGGTTTATTTTATGTTCCCTTCAGAATTTGACTGGGGCCCAGGGAGTGTTCTGTAAAGAAAAGCCAGTCCGACTTGTTCTGCCTCCTCTGTGCCCTGGAAAAGAAACTGTTACCTGGCCTTTGCCTCTTGCCCAAATCTCAATATTTCACATTCACTGGTTTTATTTGAATGTCCTGCTCTTGCTAATTGTGTTTGGGAGAGGAAAATATTTGGGGAATAAGGTAATACTGCCTTTGGTTTTTGTTTTGTACGGTGGAGGTCCAGGCCTTTGAGCAATGGAGCTAGTGTTCACTTTGTGTGTGTGTGTTTTAAAACAACTGTTAACTAAGCACTTCCTGTGAGCCATTCTGGGGATTCTGTGCACCTTATTTACCTTTATCTTCATGACAACCCTGTGAAGAGGTACTGTGGTCCCTTTTTACCAAGGAGGGAAACTGAGGTTCAAAGAGGTTGCCATGTGCTCAAGGCCACAAAGCCTCTGAAGCCTGAAGGCCGCTGACAGACTTGGCAGTGGTGGTCAGACCATGTGCATCTGGAGTCTGATTCCCATGACTACTTGTGGGAGTCAAACTACAGTTCTGTGTGTTCTGGTGACTGTCCAAGCCCCTGAGGCCCTCTCACCTATCCATGTCGCTTCTTTGCCTGTGTGATAGAGCCAGGTGACATCACAACGCCCACCCCAGAGCAGGTGGAGAAGCTGAAGGAGATGGCGGACCTCCCCGAGGACTCTGCCAACCACAAGGGCCTGGCTGTGCTGGCCTTCCTGTACTTGTACCTGTCCATCTGCCGGAAGCAGAGGTGGGTGTGTGGTCTGGGGAGGAGTCCTGGTTCAGTCTCTCCTGGCAAGTGGGCTAGGGCTCCTGTTGTTTGGGCTGCTGGAGAATGCTCGCCCTCCCTTCCTGGTTTCTAGTGATAGTAGCCATTGGCCGTCACCATGTGTCGGCCACCATGCTGGACACTTGATATACGGTCTGCTTTTAATAATGATCACAACCACCGCACGTGAGAGGCACTATCCTCATTTTGCAATGGGAGAAACAGAGAGTACTCAGATCAGTACACTTAGGGCCACAGCCAGTTAGTGGCAGAGCTGAGAAATCAACTCACTTTAATACCAACGCTTGCATTCTTAACCCAACATCGACGACTCTGGCCTCTTCAGTTCAGGAGAACCAAAGCCGTATTTCATTCTTGGATACACCGTGTGGCTCTTCCTGTGCCATGTCCGCAGAGACATCCTTGTTCCACATTCCACAGGCTCCAGGGAAACTCCATGATCAGCAGAGAGAAGGCCTGTGTCTGCTTCACCCCTTGAGATAAGATCTGGGTTGTTTGCCCTTTGGAAGCCAGCTCTATGAGGGTAGCAGTACTGTTGGGGCATGTCATGTTGTGGCAGAGAGTCAGATATTGGTTCAAACCCCAAGGCAGCCACTTACTAGTTTGCTGGAAGTTTTTCCCTGGCCTGAGCCTCAGTGCCCTCATCTGCGAAATGGGGGTAGTAATAGTACCTACCCTGTACAGCTCTTATGAGGTTAAGTGACACAGAGCCTGGCACATATCTTGGTATATGTTAGTTATAAAAATTACTTTTTGTCCAGAACCCAAAGGGAAAACCTCAAGAGGCAGCTCTTCACCTGTGCAGCAGACACCGGTTAAGCGAGCACCGGGTGCCAGGCACTGTGCAGGGGACACATTCATAAATGTCTCTACACTTGCTGTCCAGTGCCACGATTTTCACCTTGAGGGGGGCATGTCCCCTTCCGGAAGCAGCAGGCATTTTGGAGTCCCCTGAGTTGGGTGGGGTAGGCATGAATAGTTTGAAAAGGCAGATTTAGTATTATAATTTTGTTTGGAAAATGGGAGAATTACTCAGTGGGAGTTAGAGAACACGAACTTTGACAGTCCTCACTTGGGGGAAAGTAAGAGGCAGTGATTCTAGGCTCTCCAGTGAACATGAGCAGGCCAGGATTACCTGCAGCTGGGAAACTCCAGCCCAGGGTAGGGTAGGGGGGCATCCTTGAACACACAGCACACTATGACAAGGTGGGGAAAGGTTATGAAAGAGTACATGCTGGGCTTGCTGGAAAGGCCTCTGTGGGTGCCAGGGGAAGCTGCACAGTGGAAGGGACATTTGAGAAGGGCCTGGCAGGGTGGGTTGGAATTTCCCTGGGGGAGTAAAGAGGAGCAGAACCATCCTGGGCAGGGGGCCCAGCCCGTGTGCGGCCCAGCCTGAGCAGGGCCATGAAAGAGCTTCCCTTGTGGAGAAGCAGGAGTTCAGAGAAATGGTTGGTGGTTCCCAAGGCACTTTAGGAAGAGCTCTGGCTGGAGAGTATGGCGTGTTAAATGATGCTGGCACCCGTTTTCAAGTTGTCTGTTAACCATGGGTTTCTGCCGTCCAGTAGGGATGCTTTTGGGGTTGGGAAATCTTCCTGAGTTCAGCAAACTAAGCTAACTGCTTGGAGTCGGGCCCTGCCCACGTCCATTCCTGGGCCGTGTTTCAGCGTTGGCACCTCACTGCCTGCTCTGCTCCTGCTGTGTTTTAGGGCCCTGCCCAGCCTGGACATCACCGTGTGGTCGGAGCTGCCCACTGGCGCTGGCCTCGGCTCCAGCGCAGCCTACTCCGTGTGTTTGGCAGCCGCCCTTCTGACTGCATGTGAGGAGATCCCCAACCCCCTGAGGGATGGGGAGTCCACCAGCAGGTAACTGGCCCTCACCCTGGTCTCGTTGCTTTTCCTGAGCGCCACGACCTGAGTATAGGTCCTTGGACTGAGAACTTGCCGCCACCCTGTGAGGTGAGAGGTGTCATGTGGCCATTTTGAAGATGAGAAAACTGAGGCACAGAGAGGCCAGATGGCTCTCCCAGGATAGCTAGTGATGGCAGAACAAGACTTGGACGCAGGTGGTCTGAATCAAGCCTGAGCTCTCCACCCCTGTGCTGAACCTCTTCTGTCCCCCCCCCATTTCTCCCCATGCCAACCTTGCCTCTTTTGGGTTCAGGGGCTCAGGATCTGAGCCCAGACATAGGGGGCAGTGGGTTAGATGGGCTGTTGGGCCCACCTCCACCTTTGGCTCGCTGCGGACCTGGCCAGGCCGCTGCCCCATTGGGGCCTTAGTGTCCTCTGTGATGGTGATGATAATGCTGAGATGGGGGTCTCCAGGTAATACCAGATGGTCATGGGAAAGAATTGTCATGTGCCAAGGAACAACCACAAGGGTGTGTCCATTAGCTGAGGGTGTCTCACCTCTGACCAGCCCTCATCCAGGCAGAGCAGTTCTCACTGGGAGTCAGTGAGGCTTGTCAGGATGGGGTTGCTGGCAGACCGTTTCTGTCACTTGGGGAAGGCACCTGGAGAAACCACCCTGAGCACAGGGGTTATGCAATTTTCCCTGGCCCCCCTCCACCCCAAGAATTGGGTCTGAGGCCCCAGAGTCCAGCCTGGCAGCCTCTTGGGGAGGCCTGTCTCTGGGCCCACTTGGCTCAAGGGAGCCCTCCACTGGGGACCTTGCATAGCAGCTGTGTGGAGCCCATGTGCCATGCATGCCTCATCCACCTCCAGCGTGGCCAGCAGAAGAGAAAGCTGCTCGGACAGTGCTGGCTGCCAGACTGTGTGCTGCCGCCCAGAGCAGCCCCTGTGGGCCCTCCATGCGCAGAGAGGAGCAAGACCCAGAGAGCACGCCGCCCTGGCCTGAGGCTGGAGAACTGTGTCTTCCTGAGTTTGGTTTTGAATTGAGGTGTTCTTCCTGAAGTACTGTGGTTTTGTTTCCCCAGGCCCTGTTGGGCGCCCTGTCACGGCCAGTCATTGCTCTTCCGAGACATGGAGGTCAAAATACAGTTGGATTCACATTAAGCCCGGCGGTTGAATTGATCCTCGTGGCCACCACCGGTCGGGGGACTGCTGATGTCATATGTCTGGCAGCGCTCCCCTGAGTCACTTTGAAGGGCTGCTGCAGATGGAGAGAAGCTGGGGCGGGGGAGGCAGGAGGAGGCAGCTGTTCATCGGGGACAGGATCCAGCAGGGTGAGGGACCTGTGGGTGATGACAGGAGGGGCCGGTTGTCAGGAATTCCAAAAAAGGTTTGCATGGCCTTGGGTGACCCCTTTTTCTCTCTGGGGCTCCTTTCCTCATCTGAAAGTGAGGGACTGCACCTGATGATTCCCCAGGGGACCTTCCACTTCCAGCCTTGACATTTGGTGATCCTGTCCTAACATGGTGACTCAGGAAAGAGGCTTTGGGACAGCTCTTGTTACTGTGTGCTGATGGCTGATTATAACCGGCATTATGCAGGCTGGTTGCCCCAGGTCCCCTGCAGAGACAGCCTACCCGCAGGCCAACAGACCAGCGCTGCCTTTCAAGAGACATAGCTGACATGTGCGTGCGTGCGTGCGTGTGTGCGTGCGTGTGTGTGTGTAGGTGGGTGAGGTCTTTCTCATGCTGCTTCTTTCCAACCAATTCTCCCATGTCCCCGAAGATCCAGTCATTCTCAGAATCTTTGCGGAGAGCAGCTCTGCCCTCCCAACCCCAGCATTTCCAGATCAGGAGCTGGAATGTGGTCTCTGTGAAGACTCGGTTAGGAGTGTGAGCCCCCTGAGGGACACACCGTGCTAGCAGAGCAGAGCTGGAAGCAGATCGGTTTGTTGAAGGGCCCCTTCCCCATCTCACTCCCTCACTGTTAGGTCCTGGAAAGGGCCAGTTCTTGTCCAGTCCCAGACACCACACTGGCTGCCTAGCCTAGGGCTGGAACACTCTCCCCCAACATGTTGCCTTGCTGACCCACTGGCTCCCCCGCTGTCAGAATGGGGCATCCTCCACGCAGCCTGCAGTGCCCTTCCTGAGGCACAAACACTGATGCTTACTGACATCCACTCTCTCCCTTAGACTGCAAGCTCAGGCAGTCAGGGGCCCTGTCTGTTTCACTCCCTGCTGTGAACTTTATCACAGGCACAGAGTAGATGGTCAATAAATGCTGAACAAATGAGTGAGTCTCCATGAGTAGCACTGTGCTCTTGGCAACACGATTTTACCCCCCTGAGCCTCAGCTTCCTCTTCTGTAAGACAGGAGATAGTAACTGACCTTCCCTGCAGGGTTGTGGTGAGGATTACAGCAGATGCCCATTTGAGAACAGCACCGTGCCTGGCACTTGGTAGTCAGTGACACGTGCAGTGTAACTCATGATCAGTCACCGCCTCACAACCGCCATGTGAGTTGCAGGTCCATACAGTCCTCATTTGACAGATGAGGAAAGAGGCTCAGAGAGGATGACTGACTTGCTTAAGGGTCCACAGCAAATGAATGGTTGGAGTAGACTTGGAGTGAATCCGGGAGCCATGACCCCAGGTGACCTCTTTTATGTAAAGCACATACCAGCTCCTGGGCATTTTACAAAGGACTTGCATATTCTTTCCATCTTACAATATCCTCTTTGAGGGAGGCACTGTTGTCCCTATTTTACTGACCAAAAAACCGAGGGTCTACCACTGAGCCATGCACTCAGAGGCTGCAAAACCCCACTGCTGGCTTCTATTCCATGGGCAAGGGATCAACAGGAAGGAAACAAGCTGAGAGAGCTGGGCCAGCAGTGGGATGATCATTGGCCTTGTTTGACTCTCGTATGTTTAGGTCTGTTCGCTGAAACTGTTCATGAGCCTACACCCCTTCCAGGGAAGGCAGCATGGCCACGGGCTTGGGAGAGATCCAGAGATGGCCAGAGCAAACCTGGCCCACCAGGGGTGTCTGAGGCACCTGGATTGCAGTTGATAATGGTTGTACTTTTGAGCTATTCGCAGGGCTCTGGGAAAGTCACGCCTCTGCTTGCTCTTCTTAAAGGTGGGCAAGGTTCCGGAGCAGTTGTGCTTAGGTAGGAGTGTTTTATAGCAATAACTGCTGTCTGCTGTTTGCAGGGCACCTTGCTGGCATTTGACACACCCACAACTGGTCTTTGAGTTTCCATTCTACAGATGCGCAGAGTGGGGCTCCGAGAGCTTAGATAATGAGCTCAGAGCTACTCGGCTAGGAAGAGTCATAAAAGGACCGTATGTCCAGAAGCCGTGGCACCTTCCACTCTGCCAGCTGGAAGGGACAGGACGGGAATCTATGGCATGTTCTGTAGCCGAAGGTTCTGAGCCATCTTTTTCTCTGTCTGAGTTGAAGGGCCCAAGCCCCTTTGCCTTTTGGTCTCCACCAATCTATGGACCCTGCCCTCTGTTGCCCATGGTGACCGCTGGCTCCCCACTGGCTGCCACTGTAAAGGTGAATTTCTGTGTCTTCTTCAGGTGGGCCACAGAGGATTTGGAATTAATCAACAAGTGGGCCTTCCAGGGGGAGAGGATGATTCATGGCAACCCCTCTGGAGTGGACAACGCGGTCAGCACCTGGGGTAGGTGCTGCCTCAGGCTTGTTTATTTTTATTATCTTAAAAATTCTAATGACAATCGTAGATGCCCAGGCTCTGTTGGTTTGGGTGATTGGAACTTATGGATTCTGAGGAAAATAGTATTGTCCTGCTTGGGGGGGAATGGGAGAAATCTTAGGGCTCTGTGTCACACCTCCTAAATCCGAATTTCTGGGGGCTTGGCCCGGGACCTGCAAACCTACAGCTTCAGTGAGCTCTGGGTTGGGGCTGGGGAGGGTGTGTACATTAAAGCCAAAGAGCCACAGCTACGGAGTTTGCAAACCGCCCGAGCTATGGCTGCCCTCTGGTGAGGATGCTTGCCTCTTGGACCTGGCCACAGCTCTGAGCCCCACCTTCACCACATAGCCTGTGGGAGAGAAGCTGGCAGGGACGGGAGAGACCCTGGAGCCCAAGGCCTAGCAGGGCTCCCCGGCGCGGTGTGGAGTGCCTCCATGCCCTACTGGACCTTTTGTAACTAAAATGACTAGTTACAGTGCTTATTCTATCCCTGGGTGGGGTAGAACTCTAACCCCACCTGGAGTCCAGCCTCTCCCCCAAGAGGCAGAGACACAGCACCTGCAGCTCTGACCCGCTGCCTTCTCTCTTTAGGAGGAGCTCTCCGGTACCAAGGAGGGAAGATTTCACCCCTAAAGAGGTAACCCTGGGGTGGAGCAGCACCTCACAGCGTGACTGCAGTGATGCATCCCGCGGTGGAGCTCTATTTCTTTGTGAAGTAACCTGGGGGGCAGATGCCCACAGGCTTTCCCTTGATGTGGCCCTCCTAGGCCATCGGCTGTGAGGAAGCCCTGCTCTTTCCTTCTCCACTTGAGCTCTTAAATTGCCAAGAGATTAGGGGGGGAGTCATGCATGCCCATGTCATTTGCCTTCCAGAAAGTGGCTGTTGCCCTAGACCCTAGCTGCTCATTCATTTATTCATTCATTCGTCTTTCTCACTTAGTAAACGAGAATTGATATCCTCCTAGTCCCTGTGTACTAGGGCGTGAGGGTATAAAGATAGATCCTGGACACAATTTTGGTGAGGAGAGAGGCAGAGACAATATATACAAAAGCCGCTACGAGACAGTGTGAGAGTTGCCATAATGCAGGCATTCAGGGCAGGGCTGGGGCTGAAGCCCGAGGGAGGACTGAGTGGCTAAAAGCTGGGGTGACAGTTGGCAACTTTCAGCCTGTTCTGTTTCTTTACCTCCTCCCTCTGGAGTAAAATTGGAATTACAGACATGCATCTTGCATTTCCACATTCTCTGTTCTATTTGCACTCTGGGGGACATGCAGGGGCAGGTGCTTTGGGGCTATTCCTTGAGCCTTAGATAAAGTTGGGTAATGGTGTTTGTCCCAGGGCACTTTGCAGCCTTGGTGGGCCTTTCCACAGCCATGAGGGTCCCAGGGCCCTCTCTCAACTTCTTTACCCAGGGCAATCTTCTTTGCAGGTGGGCAGCAGGTCTGGCCCGCTGCCCTTACCAGCTGGGCCACTCCATTAGTGGCTCAGCGACCTGGCATGAGATGGTGCTGTGTTCCTGCTACACCTGCACCTCTGAGATCTTCCTGCCTCAGCTCTGTTGGCTTCCCATAGCCAAGGCTGCCTTTCTGAGGCTCTACATTAAGGTTTCCTAATCTCAGTACTGTTGACATTGTGCACTGGATAATTATTTATACAGAGAGGCTGTCCTGTATGTTGTTGAATGTTTAAAAGCATCCCTAGGCATCTGCCTACTAGATGCCAGTAGCACTTCCCTTCTCTCCCAGTTGTGACAACCAAAAATGTCTCCAGACATTGCCATGTATCCCCTGGAGAGCAAAGTCTCCCTGGTTGACAACGTCTGCTCTATACAGAGGAGGAAGCAGAGCCATTTAGGAGCATGGGACAGCTTCCTCTGGCTGCTCTTGGAACCAGTGGCATTGGAGCCTAGGGCCCAGGCTGGGCCGGCTCTGCCCGGGGGACTGAATCCCTCCTGTGCAGCAGGAGTAGAAGTCTGCAGGATTCTGAGATGTGTAGGCCTGGGCCCCTTGGGGCTCACAGTCTCCTGGAGGAGGCAGGCAGACTGTCCTCCTCAGAAGGCATACCGAGGGTTCTAAAGCCACTGTGGAGGACAGTGAGGGGTATCATAGGTCAGGCTGCAGCTTGGGGGAGGTAGCATTTAGTAATTCAGTGTTTCCTGAGGACTTGTTGTATATCCTAAGCAGAGAACTGGGCCCCAGGAATAGAAAACCAATCAAGACATGGCCCGGGCACATCCCCAGTCCCCTTGGGGGAATCAAGAGATGAGCGGTGGAGGGTTTCCATGGTGGAGGGAGACGGGGAAAGGCCTAAGGCGTTCTCAGTGGCCACTTGGTGATGGTATGTGTGTTGGACAGAGATGGGTCCAGAGGCCTGGGTTTGAGCCCAGTTCTGCCACTTGGCAGCTGGGTGCCCTTGGATGAGTCACATTTCCTGAGGCCTCTGAAATTTTCTGATTTCATCCTAAGCATGAAGTCAGAAATGGTATTGATAAAGTGCTTAGCTCGTTTCTAAGTTTAGACATTTGTTCCACAAATATTATTGCGATAACTACCACATGCTGGCTGCTGGGGCCTGAGCAAGGGCCAAAAAGCCCTGCCTTCCTGAAGTTCACATGTTGTGGGAGGAGACAGCCAACAAATGAATTGCTCTGAAGAGTATGTCAGGCAGTCGTAAGTGCCTTCAGAGAAAGCAGGGCGAGGGGCCGGAGGGGAAGGAAGGAGTAGCTGGATGGTCAGGGAGGCCGCTGATGAGATGCCATTTGAGCAGATACCTGAAATACAAGTGAATCATGGAAGACAGGGGTGAGTCCCTGGGAAAGGAAATGTCAGTGCAAAGGCCCTGTGACAGAAATCAACCTGGTGTGTTGAGTGGCAGCTAGGAGGCCAGAGTAGCTGAGTGGAGTGAGACTCAGGGAGGGTGGGGATGAGATGGGTTTGGAGAATTAGCCGGGCTGAGTGCACACAAGCACTTGGAGGGCATGGCCCTGGGTGGTGATCACTGGTTGTCATAGGAACCCTGGTTTTGTGGGGCTGGCAGGGCTGGCAGCAGGCCCATTTGCAGGGGGCTTGTCTAAGAAAGATGAAGCAAGCTGCTGCCCCGATGGATGGGAACACAGAACAGATCACTGTCGCTGCTGGTGGCAGCTGCCACAGTGTGCAGATGGTGGATTCTCCGAAAAGCAGGAGGTCAGACTCCACATTAATCCAGCCGATGGCTTAAGGAGGAGCCCTTTTCTCCCCAAACCACACATGGTGCCGCTCCATTAAAAAAATGCATTGTTCGCGAAGTGGATCAAGATGTGGCCTCCAGAATGCTGCCCTTCTGAGGAATGGCTTATCTTTAAAGAGAAGAGAAAAGCCAAACAGAATGTTCATCTTTTGTAAAGTTAAAAAAAAAAAGAAAGAAAGAACAGGGTTGGCCTCCGAGGTTGAGAATCGATATTAATTTCATGGGTTTACGGGCGGTGAGATCAAGCAGGTTTCTGGCAGCCTTTTCCAGCCCTATTGGCTTTTACAGTCTTGAATCGTGAAAAGCGAATACAGGTACCAAGGGATTTGCCTGTGTTCAGTGGTCTTGGCCCAGAGCTCATCAAATTCTCTGCCCTCTATCCCCGGTCTCCTGAAAGGCAGGTTAGGGTGAAAATAAATGGTGGCTTGAATCCCCAAAGATAGCTAATTGGGATTGTGGCTTTAGGAGGAATCATGAAGCTCAGAGGGCAGATGAGGGCAGTGGCGTTGTGCCAAAGAGCGGGCCTGCTATGCTACCCTGCATCCTCTGTTCTCTTACCCAGGGCAGCCAGATGGGTGACTGATTCCCTCTAACCTCAACTGGATTTGTGCCAGAGCCACTGGTCTGGGCACCATTGAGGCTGGGCAGGAATGGGCTCAGCATGCTGGGATGCCAGCATCTCTGCAAGCCCTCTCTTATCGCGCCGGTGTTGACCCCACCAGCTGACCTGGACATCTTCCCTCTCTGCGCCCCCTCTGGGACCATCTGGGTCCCGCTGCTTTTTCTTTCTAAATCTCCAGAGTCTTCCACGACAGAAGCTTGGCTCCTTATACCCTGATGTGGTGACTTTGAATGTCCGACTCCATGAATGTGGAATGTTCTACCACCACCAGGTTGAGCTAGGCCCCCTGACATGTGCCTAGCACATAATAGGTGTGCCTACTTGGAGTTGAGTGAGTAAGCAGGTACAAACCAAGGGAAAATGTCCCTCTGTCTAGGGGCTGAAGCAGAGGCGCATCTGGGGTTGGCGGCAGGCACACTGGGCTGGGCGTCAGGAGCCCCATGCTCCCCCAGCTCCCCCGTGATGCCACCTCCCTGGGCCTCTGCTTGCCCCGCTGTCAGGTGAGGTGGAGTCCAGGACTGCTGCTCCCCCTGACCCATCTCCTCCATCCTGAGCTCACTGTGGACCCCCTTCACCCCACAGGCCACCAGCTCTAAAGATCCTGCTGACCAACACCGGAGTCCCTCACAGCACCAAGGCCCTGGTGGCAGTTGTCAGGAGCAGGCTGCTTAAGGTGCTTCTTGTTCCACTCCTAGACGGGTTTCCAGCTGAGCCGTGGCAGTCCCGTTTGGGTGTTCAAGCTCTCCCTCTGCCTCTTGGGTTAGTGGAGGAGTGGATGGGGTGGTGGGAACTTGGGGAGGCAGTTTTGGCAGAAGAGGAGGTGGTATCTGTTGACACCCCAGCTGGGAGGCAGGATGGAGATTGTCGATATGCTGGCTTTGCAGCAAGAATCCCCTCCTAGGGCAGCTGGGCAAGGCAGAGACCAGGCTGGACGGAGAGGAGGTTTCCTCGGGGCAGGCATCGACCATTACCAGGGCAGCTGTCCAGTGTCTGCCTGTCCCTAGGCCTCACATTCCCTGCTTCCTTTCCCTCCAGTTCCCAGAGATCGTGGCCCCCCTCCTGACTTCCATAGATGCCATTTCCCTGGAGTGTGAGCGAGTGCTGGGAGAGATGGCGGCGGCTCCGGCCCCAGAGCATTACCTCGTGCTGGAGGTAAGAGCCCATCTGCAGGACCTGGGGTCACTCACCTGCACCGCTAAGATAGGGGTCCCCCAGTCTGCATTCAGAATCCCTGGGAGCTAAATGAAGTGCTGAGTGCCATGGGCCAAGCTTGGGTTCACACGTGTAAGGAGCACTGGGATATTGCTGCCGTCACCTTCCATAGGCCCAGGAGTGACTGATCTGGCCGCTTCTTCTTTTCAGCTAATTTTGCTAACTGCATTTGTTCATTCAGTGAGTCTCACCTGCATGCTTTGGATTGGACATATCCTAAAAGTGCTCTTTCAGCGTCTTCCCCCAGCCACCACCCTTTGCGTAATTCTAGCGTAAAGGTCGAGATCTCATGCTTTGGATTTGATGAGGCCCAGGACTGAATCCCAACCCCACCCCTGCGGGCCTCCCTGGAGCGTCTTAAGGGTGCAGTGAGGTCTTGAGGGTGACATACAAGCACAATGCCTGATGAGCCACCAGCTCAGTATGCAGAGGGCTCAGGTTCATCCTCGATATGGGCCATCTGGCCTGGTGAATGTGGCTTGATGTTTAAAAAGCCATCTGGCCTCCTTTTAGGAGTCAGAGGACCAGGCAGTCCCAGCTGGCATGGCTGTGCATCCGCAGTCAGCTGGAGGTGCAGAAAGTGCCCCCTCGAGAAGGGCCTGAAGGCTTCCTTTCCCCCACAGTCCCCACCACTCCCTAATTTGACCCACAGCTGCCACAGTTGTTGCCTGGTGCCTCCCTGTCCTTTTGTACACATTTGACCTGCAGCTTTTTTCATAAATGGAAGCTACTGCTCTGCCAAGCCTTTTCACAAATGATTTCTCACTTGATCCCTACAACAGCCTACCTGTGAAATGTAGGAATGTTGCCTCCATTTTACAGACACAAAAAATGACCTACAGAGAGCAATTTTCTCCAAGGGTTTCCAGTGAGTGGCCGAGCCAGGGTCGAACTGACTTTGTTTATTCCTTCACTCGGCAAGCCCTTAATGAGCGCCTTCTGTGGACCAGGGGCAGGGACTGCATTTACCTCCTGTGGCTTTGCCCTCGCCCCCCTGCCGTCGGCCTCCATTCCCCCGGCCTGTGCCTCGCTGGCTCTCAATTCCGTTCACGTAGGAAAGAGGGAACACAGCTCTCCTGAGTAGGAAATTAATAATGATAGAGTACTGCCTAAAATATACCCCATTGAGCCTCCAGAGAATGCGCAGAACAGCACGTCGATTATACATTGTGTATATTTTTGGCTGTGGCAGCCGCTGAAGTGTGCAGCTCAGCTCCTGGACAGCTTTGTGCTCCAACCAGTGAGCGGTTCTCCAGTGTCACAACCTGTCATCTAATCCTTGACAGATTTTGGATCAGAATATGACAGGTGTCTGAAACCTGCCTCCGCAACGTGACACCTGGCACTCAGGCGCAGAGAGAGGCCCCCAGAAATTTTCCCTCACAGCCAGTCCTCGGGGCTGGTGAAAGGCATCCCGGGCCGCTGCTGGGCCATCACGCCTGTCTGCCCATTTGTCAGAAGTGCTGGGGTGTGTGAGGCGGGCTGCAGGGGAGGTCTAACCCGACCCTGCCTGATGGCTCCGAATGGGAGAACCGGGTGAGCCTCAGCAGACAGCTCGGTGATGGGCAACCCTCACGGCACACGGGCACTCCTGGCCACACACCATCAAGCCACATAAGCAAGAAGCAGGTGGCGGCAGCAATGCCGAGGGCCCTCTCAGAGGCAGAGTAATGTGAGCTTTACATCAGGCAGATCCGGCTTCAGGTGCTAGCTCAGTACTCTACTAGCTCGGTGACCTCAGGCAGTCACTTTCCTCTCAGAGCCTCAGTTTCCCCCTCTGTAAAATGGAATGATGGTGATGTAACCATAAATGTTCTACAGCAACTGCTGTTTGCTGAGTACTCACCTGGCATTGTGTGAAAGACGTGCTTCATCTCATCCTTGCAGCAATGAGGCAGATATTCTTATAATCCCTGTTCTACAATGGGAGAAACTGAGGTTCAGAGTAGACGACCAAGACGTACACCCAAGGACAGACAACCAAGAGGTGGCAGAATTGGAACTCAAACTCAGGCCTACTTGACTCGAGGTCCCACATTCTTAACTTCCCAGCACCCGGGACCATAGGTGGGCGTGCATTCTGAAAGTCCCACATCTAGCGCAGTACGTGGCACATTGAAGGTTATTTGGCAAATGCAGAGGGAGTAAATGAAATGTAAATAAGGGGTGCCTGGGCAGAGATAGGGGTTGTTTTATTATTCCATCAGCCTGCATCTCACTTGGTCCTCGGGAGAGCAGGAATTTTATTATGCATAATCAGAGCAACCTGAACATTTAACTGTTTTGTCCACTTGTGACCATGCTGGAACTACAAAGCAGGTCTTACTCTGAAAATCAGTACCAGAGGCAGCTGTAGGATGGCATATTACTTAAAACTTCACATGACAAAAATCCATCTCAAACAGGCTTTGGCAGAAAATGAATTTATTGGCTCATAATTGAGAAGACCAGAGGGAACAGCTTCAGGCATAGTTGGATCCAGGGGCCAAAGCAGTCTAGTCTGAAATTTCTCCATCTTGTGTGTAGTCTCTGAGCATGTGCAGGGCAGATAACTCTGGCTGCCTACCTTTGAAGTCAGTCAGTTTTAGTAACTCCTGTGGAAGGAGGCAGAGTAAACCCTTTTGGAGAGCCTTGATTGCCCAGCTTGGGTCACTGGCCCATCCCTGACCAGTCACCATGGCCAGAGGCTTCACTGGCCAGGCCAGGACACGGGCTCTCCACCAGCTCCATCCCAGTCCCATGGGAAGTGCTGCAGGGTAGAGAAGTCCATTTACCAACAGAGAGGGACTCTCCTCTCCAGTGTGCTGGTAGGCAAATCCACTTGCTCTCCCAAACCAGTGGCTTGTCCAATGGTTGGGATGGACAGAGGACCTCAGCCTCAGGCAGGCCAAGCAGAAACAGACTGAGCCTCCTCCTCCAGGAGCTCATCGACATGAACCAGCACCACCTGAGTGCCCTCGGTGTAGGCCATGCCTCGCTGGACCAGCTCTGCCGGGTGACCATGGCCCATGGACTGCACAGCAAGCTCACTGGCGCAGGCGGCGGGGGCTGTGGCATCACGCTCCTCAGGCCAGGTACGGGTTTGGGGCAATGGGCAGGGTTGCCAGCTGGGCTCGTACAAAGGTTCTACCAGGGCAATTCCCTGGGGAGGAGGAAGTCTGCTAATAGTCATTCTCCCCTCTACTTTGTGGCGCTTGTCAGGTTAACTAAACTCTCCAGGCCTTTGTTGCTAAATTGGTAAAGTAAGAATTCGAACATCTAGTTTATAAGGTTGTTGCCCAGATTCAGGGAGCATGCATGTAGAGAGCCTGGCCCAGGGCTAGGCTGTGGCAGGGGCTCATGTAGTGGCTGTTCCTACCACCTCTTCACCTGCCAAGCCTCCCACAAGCTTGAGAAATAACCAGAACATCGTCACCACCCATCTACCCAAGTCAGCCTCACATGCCCTGCTCTCACCTCTTGATGTGGCCAGGACGGGGACCGACTTGCTCTAAAACAAAGGGGTTTCAAAAGAATCAAAATAAAAAACGCCAAAAAGAAACCCCAATGGGTTTCTTTCCCCTTAGTCTTTAGGGAAAGAGCAGGGCCATGTGATGGGCTCGGAGAAGCCCCTGCACTAGTGCTGGGGTCAGCAAGGGCCTCCCGGTGTGTCTAATCAACACAGCACACCTGCCTCAGGACCTGGCCCTAAATGCCCCCACCCACCTGCACTCCCTTCTGTGCTTGTCCCCTCCCCTTGCCTCTCCCCTCTCCTTCTTTACCTTCTCCCCTTGTCACCCCACCTTTTCTCGATTGCTTTGCCGTATGCCCGCAGTGGCTGCAGAGGCCTCCCCTCCCCTCACTGGGACTCCCAGGCCTCAGACAGTCACCACGCCCTGACTTCAGCAGACTTTGTTGGTTCGTAGCTCAGGGTCAGTGACGAGGGTGGGACAGGACATTTCTGGAGCATGTGTGGTGTATCATGTGCTGTGCCAGGCACTTGACCTGCATTTTCCCATGTAAGCCACGCAGTGACCCTTGAGGGGTAGGTATCATCATTAGCCCCACTCTCAAATGAGGAGACAGGCTTAGAGAGGGGCAGTTACTTGTCTGAGTCCCCATGACTGATACATGACAAGGCCAGGTCCGTGTAACTCCAGAGCCCATGATTTTAACTGCTCCAGAACTCCCCCAGAGAGGATGAGAGGCTCAGCATTCCAACAGGAAGTCCTGGTCCCCAGGCCTTTGAATGGGGATAAACATCCTCCAAAGTAGCGGACGGTTGTCAGGGGTGACCTGCTGCTTTCCTTCCTTCCCCTCCAGATCTGGAGCTGCCAGATGTAGAGGCCACGAAGCAGGCGCTGACCAGCTGTGGGTTTGACTGCTGGGAGACTAGCATCAGTGCCCCTGGTGTCTCCGTCCACCTGGCCACCTCCCTGGACACCCCCGTCCAGCAAGCCCTGGGTGGCTTGTGAGATGAGCCCATGCTGCAGCCCCACCAAGAAGCCCCTTCCTGGATTATTATGGGTACTGACCTTGGCCCCTGTGCTGGCCAATGGGCATGCGGCTCCTGAAACTGACAGAGAGGCCCCCAGCCTCTGATGCCTCTCCTGTTGGCCATGGCCCTCCAGTCCCAGCACTGGGGCCTGGAACCTGCAGTGGCTGGGCTGCCCAGAAGACATGGTGTATTCTGCATTCTCTTGAGCTGGCCACACAGTGGGGCTGTGTGGGGTCCTCAGAGACTTTAGACCTGAGAAGTAAGGGGCTGTCCTGTCCTCTCTGAAGCTCCCACAGACCCAATCTGTTTTGGGCCTCTGCCTCAACCCCCAGGCCCACTTGGTTGGGTGCCAGGTGCAAGGGTCTGTTTCTGGAGCAACGTGCCTTTCCCCACCCTCCACTCTGTACTTCTACCTATCTCCCAGGGCCCCGGCCCCTCCCACCTCCTGCAGGAAGTCCTCCCTGACCCCTGGCAGGGTGACCCTTGTTGTGCCTTCCTCCCTGCACACCTGCCATCTGTTTGAACTCTTTAGCACTTTGGTGGCTTGCTCATCTCTCCAGCTAGACCATGGGCCTCAAGGGGGCATTCAGGTGATGGTCTTTGCCTGCTGAAGGCAGGATTAATTTGCAGTCTCTGCCCGTCTGTACCTGAGGAGTTTGCAGAAAAGACAGCAAAAGGGGAATAAAAAGTTCTTGAGTAAACAATACTTCACTCCTTGCAAAGAGAGGTGAGTCTGGTAGTGTGCAACCCACCCACACCTGACTCCTCTGCTCCAGTCCCTGCTCCAGCCACTCTCTTAGTGGAGCTCTTCAGGAGTTGGCAAAAAGAAGGGCTTTGGTTCCCTTGGCTGTGTCTCAGGGATGGCGTGGGGTTTTCCCAGAGGGCCTTGGCTGGACCGGTTCGGATGTCAGGATAGTAAGGCTCTTGGCCCACCAGCACAACTCCAGCCCGCTTTTCCAAAAATGGCAAGTTTTAAGCTCCCTGTCTCCTGGAATCATGAACATCTACTAATTCACAGGCTTTTTGTAAGCCTTGGAAATAGAAATCTGTAGGTCTTAGAATTTTCTGAAATTGCCTCAGTGGCCAAGAGACTTACGTGCTTGTTAGCCCAGTGCCTGGCACCCACCTGGCCCTATTTGAAATTTATATTACCAGCCCAGGCTCTTTCTAAAATGGTAGAATCCATTTAAAAAAAAAAACCTGTAGATAATATTTTGCCAACAGAAGTTCCAGCAGGTCAGCCCTGGACCTGCAAAGAGGCCAGGCAGGAAGTTGGGGGCTGGGGCCAGGATTTCAGGATTTGGTTAAAATGGCTCAGTGTGCTTCTGCCCTTGGCCACTAGGGGGCAGCTGGCCCCTTTCCCAGCATTCTCATAGGGAGGGTGAACTGTCTGGAAGAGCAGAATCTGAGCTCTGCCCCCTCGGCCAGGCCTCTCTCCCGGCTCAGGGCTCTGCCTGGGGTTACTGCCAGGGTCCTGAGGACTGTCTGCTCCAGGCTGTCTGGTAAAGATGGCCCTGATGTCACTAATGGGGGGGTTGCCTGCTTCCACTCTTCAAAACCCAAAATGCATGAAATGGTAGTGTTAATACTGAGCATTTAACCGTGTGCCAGGCACTGTACGTACACCATCTCTCAATCTACTCCAGTTTTGCAGGGTGGTTGCTAGTCTTGGCCCAATTTTACAGATTGGGAAACCAAAACTCAGAGAGGCTGAACAACTCATCCAAGACCTCACAGCTAATCAGCATCAGGCACCTGATTCCAGCACCTGCCCTCAGCCCCTCCAAGCCTCTGCCTGGACAGGTTTGTTGTGATTCTTGTGGCTTTCCATGCTTGCCCTTGTTACTGCCCGTGGATTCTGATCTACTTGGTCAGAGCAGGTCCTGGGCCTGGGTGTTTTTCCAGAGTTGCCCACACAATTTGAATGAGCAGCCAGGGCCGAAAGGTGCTTTCTCAACAGCCTTGTCACACTGCAGGAAGCAGGCCTGGGAGCTCCCTGGCATCGCATAGATGCCCATGGCAGTGTCCAGGGCTTCCTGGGAAGCATCCAGAAATGCTTCCTCTTCTTCACTCCCTGAGGACCATGTGTCACTCCTGGAGCAGAGGCCAACCTGTGACTCTTGCCCCAGTGAAGCAGCCATCTGCATGCCTTGGCCAGCACGACCTCATCCCAGCTGCCACCACCGGCCACCCCATGGGCCTGCTGGCACCCAGTCCTGGCCACTTGTTTCTGCTGTTACATTTGTAGACAATTTGTATTTGCAGCCAACATCACCCCTTGTCATTGCCTGCAAACTAGTTCTCATTCCCAGTCAAGACCATGCAGGAATGCCTGGCCCCAGACATTCTGTTTTAACTAATTTCAGGCAGCACTTACTCAGGAGTAGTTGTCAAAAGCCCCCAGGTGATTCTAATGTGCAGCTAGTGCTGAAGACCCTGAGCTGGATGACCTCTCACGTCACATCCACAGGCCCTCATTGTGCTTGAGAGCTCACGTCTGCCTGGGCTCCTGTTCAGCTGTGCCACCTACTAGCCATGTGACCTTGGGCAAGCCAGTCGGCCTCTGAAGGCCACAGTCTCCTTGTCTAGAAGATGGAAATAATAGTAATATCCACCTCATAGAGGTTTCGTGAAGACTGAGGGAGAAAATGCCTGTAAAGCCCTTGGCACGGTGCCTGGCACATAGTAAGTACTCGTAAAAGCTCATTATTATAACTGTCCTGTGTTGAGAGAGATGGTGTCTCTCAGAGCCCAGCAGTTTCAGAATGGTGCTCAGAGCTGGGTAGAAGCACCCAGCCCAGTTTGTCCAAACCTCCTCGGTTGAGGTCCCTGGGGTCACTGTTGGAGAAACACGCCTAATGCTGATGGGCTCTCCATCCTCCTGGCTTCCTCCCCAGAGGCACTTGGTCCCAGAGCCCCGGCGCCCTCTACCAGCTGGAAAGCAGCAATTTCTCGGCTGCACTTGGAGCTGCAATCCAGCCTCTGCAGCTGATTGTGGATTTAACACCCACCCTCACAGCCTGAAGGTCACAGAGAACTCCACTGGTCTGGCAGAGGTTTCGTGTTGGCACACAGGCAGCAAATACTGTGGTTCACACCAGACAGAGTAGCTGCTGCAGTGACACCCATGTTCTTTCTGTGGGTGAGTTTTTCTCCCCGAGATCGTCCCCTGGACTGCTGGCAGCCTGTCGAGGTGGGCACTGGCTGCAGGCTAGCAGGCATGGTCAGGGCCCTGTCCTCCAGCCAAGTGTGTTTGGGCCAATCCCTTTGCCTGTTGAGGGAGGTCTCCATTCTCATTTCATTTCCTTCATTCTATAAGGCATCTCACTTGGGGCCCAGCACCTAGCAGGCGCCCCCTCCCGCAGCCCTTCCTGGCTTCCAACTAATTTGGGGCCAGCTTCTTGGCTGTTTCTTAGCACCTCCTGTGTGGCAGGCCCAGTCATTGTCTTAGATGAGGAAAACAAGGCCCAGAGAGGTAAGCAACATGCCTACAATATGTTTTCATCTTTAATGCCCAGGCCATAGTCACATTTCCCCCCAGTTATCTCCAAAATGTCCAAAATCCTGTCCAGGACCATACATCTGGCTGTTATGGTCCTAAATTCTCTTTTAATCTAGCATAGCGATGCTACACACACATGCAGGATGTCAGCAAAACCCAGCCTGGCCTGGTGAGGGAAGCAGAGGAAGCCCTGGGCCCGCCTGGTTCCCACTCCGTGTGGCCACCTACCTCCAAGCTGTCACCTGAGACACCGCCTCTCTGAGCCTCGGTGTACCCTCTCTGATAATAGCAGCAGCTCCTACCTACTGTGCTCACTCTGTGCACGAGGCGCCCAGCTACATGTGCGATGTACATTGTTTTGTAGTATTCCCACTTTAGGCATGAGAAAGCTGAGGCTCAGAGAGGTGATGTGGCCAGCCCAAGTCACTCACCGCTTGGTGATCAGGCCACAGAACGAGGCCAGACCTACCTGCTCCCAGAGCCCACAAAACAGTCACTACTGGGAAGAGGAAACAAGGACACGACGGCCAAGCTCCCGGCACCGTGGACGGCACCATTATTTCTATGGATGGGGAAACCAAGGCCCAGAGAGTGCAAGAGACCTACCTAAGGTCACACAGCGAGCTGTCTTTTGGGTTTTCTCCTCATAGCGAGGAAAAGCGCTGTGCCTGGAGTCCAGAGACCCATCCCAGGGCCTAGCTTCTGCATTTGCTGAATGTGTGGATTCTAACAACCCACAACGGACCATCCGTGCGGCCGATGTTGAAGACCACTGCCCTTGTCTGTTTCAGCTGTGAGAAGACACACGGTGTGCTGCTTAATCAACCCAGGGCCCAGGCTTTCCCTGGATGTGGGGAGACGGGCTCCTGGCACATTGCCAGGAGAACACGTGCTCTTCAGCATTCAGTCGGTCTGTCCATCTGTGTTGGCAGGACCATGGGAGCCTGAGGGATGGGCAGCAACGAGGGCAAATACATGCACATACACACACCCCTACTCTTTTTTTTCCCCAGTACGTGGCTCACCCGGGAGGCCTGGCCAGTCTCCCGACAGAGTGTCCCGTCTTTGGCACTGCTCGCTCAGTCGAAGCTCTCCCCGTGAGCTTGCTGGCTCCCGAATCCCTAACAGACCATCTCCTGAGCAGGTACCTGCTCCATGCCCAGCCGGGCGCCTACAGCTTTATGTGCCTGATCTCTGGTAGAATAGGTATCATTCTTACTCCCATTCTGTGGATGAGTAAACAGAGGCCCAGGGAAGGGAAGGGACTCACCTAAGGTCACAAGGCAAGCAAGCAGCACAGTGGGGCTCAATCCTAGGTCTGTATGTCTTCAGAGTCCTGCCTCTCAGCCACCATTCTGCACCGTTTCTCCAGAAGAGAACCATCGACCGCCAAAGCCCCCTCCTCACTTCTGCGTAATTGTCATCACTGAGTTGTTGCGTCTGATCCAGAGGCCCTGGCTCAACTCACCTGCCCTGCCCCCCACTTAAGTCCCAGCAACTGCCTGGTGCAGGTAGGACAAGACCACAGTCCCTTACCAGAAACCCTGGGGCCAGGTGTGATTTGGAATTCAGAATTTTGCAGTTTTCTGTATAGATACCCTGTGTTCCATCCTTCATGATGTCTGGGACAGCAACTCTCCAGGCTCTGCAGCAAAAGGTGTGGGGAGTAAAGGTCATGGTATGTCAATCCCTGTTGTATCTGCTCCAAAATGAGTTTTGGTGCCAAGCTTCTGGATTTTTGTGTCTTGGGATTTGGGGCCTGAATGATCTTCCCATACTGCCAAGCAGCAGACAGATGCTCCTTCAGAGGGAAGTTCACTGCGTTGTCCAAGGCCATGGAGCTAACAAGGGGTGAAGCCTAGGCTGGAACCCCGTCCGTCAGGTTCAGGTTGGCTGTGACTCCCCTCATTGCAGGGTCTGACCAGGGCCCACTTTTTCTGTCAGGGTGAGGGGTCTTTGCATCAGCTGGTGAGGGCCTAGATGCTCTCCTGCTTGCTTGGTGCAGGCTGAGGGCAAGGGGCACTGGGCCCCGGGCCCCGGGTACACTGGCTCAAGCTAGTTAATCCAGAATCCTCCATCTTATTTGTTTATCTACCGTAAAGCTTGTAATGTGACAAACGAGACCACCTGAAAGTGGCCCATAATGGGCCCAGGCCTCCGGCTGCAGGGCCCAGGCCCTCTTTGGAGTTTGCTTCTTCCTGCAAAGCAGGGGTA